AGCCACCGCTGCTGCCTCTGCCACAGGCCCACAGCAAACGGAAAGGTCAGCCACGAATGCTCTCATTGCATCTACTATTATCACTCTACCGAAGAAGCCCTGGAAGAATTATGGGCTCCTCGTTCCATATTTTGTATTATGCAAGGCTCTTAGCTGTGAAGATAATACCACACCTCTCCTCGCTCCTAGCACAATCTCATGACCTCACTCTAAAAACATCAACACGTCGTTAAAACTATGGCTCTGTGAGGTTAGTCAGTCAAGCTGCCACACAGAAAATCGGTTAGCACCTCAAAAGCCTTACAATTCTCTCACACGCTCTTATTGTTAAAGGAAGACAAACTGAGTAAGTCTTCAAATAGCTAGAGATTTTATTTAACAAAATCATGCTAAAAAGGTACTCCATTCAATCCCATACAATGCCAACCTATTGAGCAACTCTTCACTTCCCTTTGCATCACATGAGTTTTGCACTCATGCAGAGTAGATTTATAACATGCTTAAAATAATTCCATAAATCCTGACATGTTGCAGAGCACCCCCTTTCTTGACTTCAAGGCTTGTACAAGTCTTTCCTGCATACCATCAATATTTTACTTAGTATTTCAGAGTTAAATATCTATAAATACCCAAACACACATATATACAGACATCAAACCCCCAAAAATTTCTTCCTCCTCTTAATAAACTCATACTATCTCTTTCAGCCCTTTTCTTGCACAGTGTCTCACCACAATTTTAAAGAAACAGTACACATTTCCTCACAGGATATATAAGGTATACACTGCAAAGCGGGGCAAAGGAGCAGGAATTCTATATTACAAATAGTAAAGCTTTAAAAATATCAACAAAGCAGAACGTTCTAACATAACAAATGAAGAGCTCTACATTAAAAAAAGACTTCATTATTTCAGTATCTCTTTGTTTGCTTGTTTAATCATCCCCTGGGACAATCTGTACTGTTAAGAAACGTGTAGAAAACAGTCATCAGTTTTTGTTGTTGTTCAATTAGTGCTATACTCAGTGTTTGAGCTCATGCAAGTGTCCTTTGGGGAAACGTCCTGCGTGCCATTAGCACTATTCTTAATGAGGGAAAGCATGAAACTCCTTTAGTGCTCTGCCAGAATTGTTTTATCTTCGAGTCAAAAGAACAACTGCTTGGAGTAACCCCAAAAAAAGCATTTAACAATTACAAGTGACAAACAATATTCCCAAGCATTATACTCATAGCACTCTTCTATTTATAGGCTAACAGTTATTATAGCGAATAAAATATGTATTAGGCAGCTTTATTATGCTGACAGTCATGATTGCCCAGTTAAGGCTACTACGATGGTTTCCATTATAAGCCCACTTTTGGTCCCTTTTACTTTTTCTGTGAGAGGTAGGGTGGGGAACAGGAGGATGTTTCATGTTTGGTTTCAAGACAAAGGAGAATATTTTTAGGAAGTTTGAGGTTAATTGGACATGATGCTTTTGAGATATGGGACATAGGCGTTTCTTTATTTTTTTTGAAGAAAAAAGCAGTTTAGTAGCGATGATTTTTTCATAACAAGATTTTTAACTAGTTCTCCAGAATTTCTTTAAAATATAAAATCAGAATTTAAATCTACATGAAAGGAAGTTCAAGACTGACAGCTCTAGGAAATACATAAACACTTTTCCTAGCTACATTTATTTTCAAGAAGACATGTAAGCTTTTTCCACTGGGGGGAGAAAAAAAAAAGGCAAAGCAAAAATTTAAGAACACTAGGCTTAAAAACAAAACCAAAAGCAACATTCTTAAGTCTTATCACCATTTCTCTCCCAATTATGGTTTTTCTTGAATAGTGGGGGAATAAAGCATTCCCTCTCACAGTCTCTCTTTATCTAATTGTCTCCTCAATCTTTGTATCTCTAGGTTTTCTGTCTCTGCTTCATAATGCCAACATCAAGCATCTTCACATCTCAGACACCTCCCTGACCCTTGCTTCAGCACTACCCAGATCTACAAGCCTGCATATTCCTTTTTTTTTGCCAACCCCAATGACTAACTGGAGAGTGGAGAATTTAATGAACAAGGTAAGAGTAAAGCTCTGGCTAAAAGTTTGCATTTCATACTTGTCATACACACAAGCTCATTTAAGCAACGCCTAAAAGCATTCCCGGTCTTCTCAGTGACACACACGTACTTTCTAACACACGCCTTTACAAAACATGCACAATGGACACCAGCTGACACAAACTCCCCTCAGAGGAGCATCTTGTAGAAGAGCTAGAATTTAAGTAGATGCCATGGAAAACTCAAAGAAAGGGAATGAAGACAACTTATTTCAGCTGGATTTTATATACAGTCTTCTTAATGAGGCATGAACTACCTAAGTACAGCTCTCAGGGCCAGGCAGTGATTATACAGCTGATAAGATTCCACAGACTTGACACTTACTCATGTCACGTGAAGAGAGGAAAAAGACCAAAGCACAGCCATTCCCAGTTCTAACTCCAGAAACACAATGAGGGGCTGCATATTTCTATCTTATTAGTTAGTGCACTAATACCTCTGACATCCTTTCTTTTTACCTAGAGAGGTCACTAAGATTCATTCTCTTAAATTGCCTTAAGACTGCAGTAAAATTCTTTAATCCTACGGCAATCTCACTCCAAGTCTCACGCAAGTGTTAGGGATGTGCTGTTGTATATGTAACTGCCTGCAGTTCTGGGTTCTATGGTTTAAGAAGGGTGTGAAGGTCCTTGAATTTGTGCAGAGGAAGGCAACAAGGGTGGTGAAGGGGCTGGAAAGCGTGAACTGTGAGGAGCAGCCAAGGACTTTGGGTTTGAATTATTTGGAAAGGAGGAGGCTGAGAGGCAACTTTATTGCTCTCTACAGCTTCCTGAGGAGAAGTGGAGAGGAAGGTGTAGAGGTCTTCTCCCTGGGATCCAGCAGTAGGACATGTGAGAATGGTTCAAAGCTGCATCAGTAGAGGTTTAGACTGGACATAAGGAAGCATTTCTTTAAGGAGGGGGGTCATCAAACACTGGAACAGGCTTCCTAGAGAAATAGTCAATGCCCTAATCCTGTCGGTGTTTAAAAGGCATTTGGACAATGCCCTCAATAAACACACTCTAACTTTTGGTCAGCCCTGAAGTGGTCAGGCAGTTGGACTAGATGATCACTGTATGTGCCTTGCAGCTGAAATCATCTATTCTATTATAAAAGCGTCCCAGCTGTGGATATATTGAGACATCATACACGTGCAGCAGGTCTCTGACTTCCTCTGCTAGAGGTCTATAGTAATTTGGTCTGCTTTACAATGGACAAACACGGCTTAATCATTTAAAATGCTGAGATTTAAAACACGGGGGGAAAGTTTTAGAAATGCTGAATTATTTCTGATAGCATACTTTCAGTTGTTTTCTATAGATTTTATTCCAGGTAAGCTGCCCCACAGTAAGAACAGAGGTTAGTATACCTCTTTGAATTTACTCACACAGACAAAAACTAGGAAAACAGAGACAATTCAGGTGAAGCAGCTTATTCAGGGTAACAATTTTGCTTACAGGGCAAGGCTGCAAGCTTGTATCATGAGGTCTCACACAGATTCATGAGGCAGCAGACCGCAAATGCTGCTGTTATATAGATAGCACTGCATGACTCATGCAAACTACAAATTTCAGAGGTTATTCACATAAGGTTTACAAGTCGCAATGAAACTTTCAAAACTTTTTGTTCATAATAGTGAGTGCAAGTATTTTCAGCTTTTGTAAGCAGTACTTAAAACGAAAGTCCAAACATGTTTTCAGCATGTCAAGATACTCATAATATACTTGAGGATAGCATTGTTCACAGTTTGAGGTCATCTGTAGTGTCAGAGTTTTGAATATCTCTTTCTTTCCATTGCCTCATTACAGTACTAAGCTATAAATAGTAGCAAGATGCACGCAGATTAAGTGGCTCTCAGAAAAACCACTTACATTTAATTTGACCAATCCAACGCATGACAGGTAAGAGGTCTCTGGAAATTAATCAGAAGTCACCAAAGACTAGCATGGCAAGCTCCTAGTTCAGAACTGTCAAGCTGAGCTTTCACTTAAGAGCTGTCTCAGACTTAAGTAGGAGTAAAACATAAGTGCAAATTAACCTGCGCACAGTCTCGTAAATTACATAGATGTCTTTGCTGCTGGTTTATCAATCAACCCAATCGATATTTTTAAACAATTACATCATTTAGGGCAAATCTTTAGCTCTCCTCAGCCAAGGAAGTCTCACCTGAGCTAGGAAACTATACAGGATTCCAATACGTTTAAAACAAGACTGATAAACACAAGACATTTTTAGGCCATCACCAAGATGTCAAAGAAGCAGTTACATAGTCTACTTATGTGTTGGCATAACAAGTTTAGGTAAGATTTAGATTGTCAGCAAAAAAATATGATTTGACAACAGAAGTCATGAAAGCACTGGGACTTCGTATCTCAGAGATGTTAGTCAAGTCTGCTATTTACAAAAAGGAGCGCAACTGAAACAGATATAAACTCTGATTTAATGCTTGTAACATAGAGGCAGTTCTGAATCTTTAGAAGAAAATTGTAATCTAAGGGTTTTAATTCATGAACTTTGTCAGCTCAGAATGGGATCACTTCACAATACAGTCACTCCCAGAATTTATAATGCTTTGGGCGGGGTAAATGAGTGTCTTGCAAATACTCTTCTTGGTCAGAAAGGCGCAGCCAGTACATTTGTTAGAACTACTCTCAACCTGAGTTTAGGTCAAGGTCCAAATTTTTCCAGTTGTAGTCTCTCATTTAAATCTTCATTTAACTGCAATGATAAGATGATTCTAGAGCAACAGCCTCTCTAATACCAGAGCTAACTTGCTAATGGCAAAGATGAATGTGAGTCCTGATTTATAACCATTGAAATATGACAAATTCAGACCTGAGGCATGAGGAGGAACCGCTGCTACACAAACTGAGCTTAGGGCAAAATAACAGCATACTTCCCCTATTTTAAAATAATTTACCTGGAGATATAGCTCTGTGGAACTGATACATGTCTTCTCCAATGAGTTCCTGAGCAACCTGCTTAATCTTCCGTCGGACAGCATCTAGCTTGACTTCAGATTCATTTAGGATTTCTTCCCCATTGGGAGCACTACGATCATAAAAAAGAAACTGAAAGAGCAGTTTTCACAACACAAGCAAACAGTTAAAAAATTATTACACATTTTCTGTTACTAATCAATACATTCTCAGTGGCTTCAGGGAAAAGTAAAGCTGATATTGGAAGCAGTTTAATTTTCATTGATACCTTCTGCAGATTCTTACCACGACAATAATCAATCTGCCAAACCTAGTTCTGGTAGTATGTTTATTTCAGTCTAGAAATTTAATTATTGCTTAAGTAAGAACAATGAGAAACACGTAAAAAGGCTTCAAAAAAGTATTCCGGAAAACTAGCAGGATTTGCAGGGGCCCTTCAACCTCTTAAAAATATCACTATTTTGCAATACCTTAGTATTGCAAAATACAACACATGCTCTACTTCTACATGTGATTTATTTACCTTTTTTTAGGAAGTCATTATGGACTATGCTATTCAGGAAAAGCTGAAATATCCGATTCACAACCACAATATACACTTGGCATTTAAATTTTAATTTATCTAAATTCCTCTAAACTTACCCCTTCCCTATGCCCAAATAATCTATACAGTACATTAGTTTACAGTCTATTTAAGGAATTACTGACAGACTGGTCCCAAGAAAACATTCAAAAGCAAAGAGATTTCGGAAAGTAAAGTCACAATAATAGCGAAAAGAAAAGGAGAAGGAAATAAAAATACACCACAGAAAGCTTCCACTCTTACAAAAACAGAAATGTCTAACAAAATAGGAAGAAAAAAATATCAGAGTGGAGAGTTTTTGGTTGTTGTTCTTTCCTCTACCAGTTCCCAGATATCCAGCCCCTGCAGTGGGAGTAGCTATTTACAGTCAAGGCTGCAGCAGTTACTAGAATTATCACAATGCCTCTTTGCAGAAGAGGACCAAGTTAAAGAGAGGGCAACTTCATAATCCCTATTTATAACTGTTACTACTATGGTAACTATAAATAGTTACTACTACAGCAGAAATACATTAATAGGTAACAAAAAATAAGGAACAGGGAGAGCTGTTATAACTGTAGCACGTAAGACCAATGTTTGGCACATATATTAAGTATTTTATACAACAGGCTACACAAAGCTTCACATTTTCCTGTTATTCTAGTTTGTCTGTGGCTCCCAAAGATTGCTTGAAAGCTCGTGAGAACAGAAAACATGTAAAAGGTCAAAACTTCACACAAAAGCCTCTTAGGTTGCAGCACATATTGAAGGAAACAGAACCCAGGTCACCTCCTCTTTGCATTGATGACATGGGGTGAGGCTGCAAAAAACAAAACGGTGAAGTAACTCCAGAGGCAACTAACCAGAAGGCAGGGGGCACGTTCTTCTCACCCTGCTGGCGGAAAGCTAAAAAGCTCTCCCTGCTGTTACACTCTGCTACTCTCATCCTGTTTAATACATCAGTAAAACCAACCCAGAAACCTGAACCAGCATCTTTTAAGCCTCGAACCGGCATACGCATTCATTAGATAACATCCACCCTAAAGGATGTTTATGGGAAGTTAATTAAATTCCTCTCAACAGGACATTGCAGCCATTAATCGCAAATACAGAGATCACTGCAAGGCAGCTTCTCGGTTTCTACGAATAATGTCATGTTCAATGCGACTCACCTGGTAAACCTGTGGAGCAGAAATATCGTTCTTTTGCTTTCAATGGTTATGTCACGACTGAGCTTCACAAGCCGTTCATATTTATCGTGCCTGGTGTCAAGCTCCAGCTGAAACGCTGCGGAGTCAACCATCAAAGCAACAAGTGTGATTATCACATAGCACAGCACAGGGGAAGAGCAGAGAGCCTGTGCCACAGTCACTGCTTATGGGCCTCAGCCTCATCCGCCTTTTACTGGAGTGCCTCTTCCCAAGGTGGGGCACAGCTGCCAATGCCACCACCGCCCACCACCCGCGAGAGGTGCAAAACTCATCACTGCTACTACTTTGGTTTAATAACTCAGGTTTAAATACATATCAATCCTGAGAATGCTTTAAGGCAGCCCAAACAGTTTTAAGGTAAAATACTTGTCTAGTAGAATCTGTCCTGTAATATTGCTCTTCAGGAAACTGACTTAAAATTTCACCCAAAATAAATTAAAAAATAAACGCCTACAATCAGTAGTAAGATTCGCCAGTCTCTAAAATAAACAAACAAAAAAGGCATTTGCCTAAAGCACATATACTCTTAAAATGCACCATTTATTAAAAATAAAAGTTTCACAACCCAACTACACTTGGCCAGAAGTCAAATATGTAAATATCCCTAAGAATGAGCAGTACTAAAGGAAAGTGAGATCAGTTACTTAAAATAAGATTCCTGACTTACTCTCGAACTGCAGTGAACACAGAGAAGGGAGGACGTGTACCTGTTTATCACAGTCAAACGTTATGAATGTTTCACAGATATCATTATCATTTTATAGGCCATTATTCCACTAGAAAAACCACTGATAGATACTTGTAAGAAATATGACACATTTCCTGCATATCTGTCTGAGGTGTTAAAGTGTCTGTGTGACAAGATGGTGAAAATAAATGAAGAACTTGTATTTTTTTAAAGAGTCTGACAAGTGAGTGTCCTTTAGAAAAGCACAGCAGTTTGCTGGCAAGCAAAGTTTAGATGAAGCTACAGAAGCAACTGTATTTCCCATCCCCTTGATGAAAACTTGGTAGTTGTTCCTCTGTTCTGTTCTCCCCAGTCTTCTGAAACGCTAAGAATCAAGTCACAAATGCTCCTACTGATCTTTTAAATGTTTCACACATCTGACTAACCTGTCTCTTCCAAATTCTGAAAGTCAAGTCTATCACTCAATTATCTTCAAGAAGAAATTTTCCCTCAGATCATAGTGACAGGAACTTAAGGGAGGGTGATTGGTATTTTCATTCATAGGATGCCATATGTGACATCTCCACTGACCATTTACAGATTGCACCCACCAGGAAATTCATTACTCTGAAGATCTACAATATCAGCAATGCCCCTGATTTCTTCTGGACAGTTGTGGCTTTTAAATTTTTACATTAGATTTTAAACCTCTTAAGGACTACTAGGAAGCGTTTTGCGACCTTTAAATAAAACATGCGACAGATAACGGTAATCTTTATCCTAAAAGGATGCAAGAAAACCTACCATACTGTTGCCCAAAATCGCATAGGATTAGAACTCAGGAGATTCTTCAGGGTAACACTTTGAGACCTCGCAGCTATTTCCTCCACCCATTCCACTTCAACACTTAATCTACTGCTGAAAGCAAAGACTAAGTATTGATTTTGGTGGTGCAGAATCAGACCATTAAAAATGACACTTAATAAACCTCAACCTTTCAAAACAAGATACTATCTGGTCTCTGCATCACTAAGCTGTCATATTTAAAATATATTGAGCAAAAAAAGGTGTAACTGAATACTCCTTGGGTTTCGATAAATTATTTTTATAGAAGAAAATTTCTTAGTGTTATTTTTTGGAAATATATGGTGCCAACAGATCTGTCTACTCAAGTGCAACGTTTTTCCAAAGAGATGAAAAAGAGGAAAACGGGTGTAACTGTTTAACTTCACACATTAAGATTTTTGGATTCAGGCAAATATACATAGAAATGGTGCGCGAGTCCAGTTCACCTTACACAGCTTGCTCAACCATAAGCCATCTGGAGCACACCTTTCCTTAATGCTTGTGCCTGACGTGGAGACAAAGACCACCAGTGTCTCCATCTGGGGTTTATAAGCACTAGTGCAATACAAAGAGTGGATCTTTGGAAAGCTGAATAAACAGTGTCCTTTGCATCCTTCCTGAAATTAACCAAACGCTGCTGACTGGATCTCATGGGAAAGGAGGGAAACAAGTGTTGTTTTGAATTTGAATTAGTGGCAACTTTATGATAACCTGACACGCCTGAGAGTAAAAAATTATAGCTGAAAGTACAGTTGCACTACTCAACAGCCACCCAGCTTCTACTTCTTCATCCTCCTTGGCTTCATAAAAAAATAGGTGGGACAGGGAAAATTTTAGATCAAGAATTAATCTGTTCTCCATATGACATTTCCTTCCTTCTTCTGTCAGCGCTTCTCATTTCTGAAGCACAATTTTGCCTTATTAGGGCTTGTCTAATGAAAAAGTTCAACTACATGTACCAGAGTTTAAATCTGCTTTTGTGAAAAATTCCATAAATACAAATTTAAATAAACGTCTACATTAGTTAGCTAAACTCTTGTTTTTAAAAAGTACATGTATAAATAGCTAACAACTCACAAATCAGTGCATCCAGATTTACATTAAAGTAGCTTAGTCATCTGCACACCAGAGCTAAGGTCAACAGCCAAGGACCTTCTCAGCCTCCCCAAAGGCAGCCATCTTCTCCACTTGTCCCCATGGCTCAGATTTTGCATTACATCTCTGTAGGACTAACATTTTTTACAGTTTTCTTAGCATCATGTTCAGCACAAGCCAGGTGGGGAGGGGGAACAGCAGGTAGGATGAAAAAGGGAGCAAGTAATGAGGGAGGTCAAGCTATCTCAAATCCCACTCTCAGGACTTTTATTGCACAAAAAGCAAAACCTCAAGCTCTGAATGTGTGAAGCATCAGTTCAACTAGTTTCAAGTTTCTCCCCAAAAGAAAACTAGTTTATTCCATCCCTAAATACTAGTAATTTCCTAGCATTTTCTACACATTTTTATAAACTGGCTTTCCAAATGCTTACTCAGATTTAAATGCTTACTTACATTTAAAAGATGTCATCAAAGCTGAAGATGGATTAACATTCTCTTTTTCCTCTCTTCTTTGACCATGTGGAAAATTGTCATGCTTTCGTTTTCTGAACCCTCCTGATCCTATTAATTAAAGATAAACACAGATTACTTTATTTAAAAATAAACTGACTTTGCTAGAGTATCAACAGCATCAGAATGCTGTTGTCAGAGCATTCTTGACTGCAGCTGTATTTTACATGACATAGTAACCTACCTGGACAAATCTTATTACCAACTGACATCATCTTCACATTAGCACGCTACTTTTTCCACTACATTCCTAGTGAAAATTAGAAAACAAATCCTACCAATTTCAATGGATTAGTGTGGTAGGATCCCAAGCCCTTTTTTGACTTCAGTAAGGTCTTTGCACCCTTTAATGTTTCCCTTCTGTAAGAGACTGGCTGTATGGAAATCCTTGTGTGAGCAGCACCCTATAGGATTATAAATTCTTTTCTCCCCCTCTCCTTTTTTTTTTTTTGAAATTATTTTAAATATTCAGCATGACAGAAGTCTATAAAGTTTTCATTACTGTATTTACTTATGTCAGGGGTCTTCAGTAACCAGAAAAAGTAGCAAAGCATAATTTATGTAGACTGCCATTTTCCAGGTATGCAAGTTTAGCTCCTGCAGCATAGCATCTTAAGGTCCTTACACACTGCTCATTAACCAGCTTCTTCTCTTTTCACCCACTCCCTTCAACTGGCCTTGCATGCCTCTTCCTTAGCCTCCCTTTTCAAACCCTCACCCAGAACTCATTTGGCTTTGATTGTGTTTTACCGCTGATTTACACTCTGTACTGTCTCTTCCTTTTGTCCTTCCTTTACCTAGGACTGACTCATTGTGTCACTCAATAATCAACCATTCCTCCCTCTCATTACCTCCTTTTTTTGACAGCTGTACACCCTATGTTCCTAACAGAGGCAAAAAACCTGGCAAACTCTTACATACAAGCATACCTTTTAGAACATGTGGAATTCTCTCAATTTCCTTAAAAGAAGAACAAAAGGAAGCTACTTAAAAGTTACAGACCAACTTTGGATTTTAAAATGTTTCCGTTTAATTGTTTATTATCCCAAACCAAAACCAGAAGTGGGTGTAGTTATTTTCTAAAAGAGGAAACCGAAAATCATTTTTTCCTTCTTTTCTGTTATACACGAGTTGAGGGTTTTGTTTTTCCTGTAGCAGCTGAAAACATTACAAAGACAACCCCTGAAATCGTGCAGAGAGCTGAACTCACTTTTCGGTATTCCAAAAGTTGGGAGCATAATGACCTACAGGAAAAAAACCTGGCCCTCCTGAAGTGTGTAGGGGGAAGAAAGAAAGAAAGAGATGCTCCACCGAACAACCAACAACTCGAGTATCAGAAAACCGCGGGCTGCAGTAATTTTAAAAAATTAAAAAGCCAGCTTCCTTGTTGCAACTCTTACTTTGGCGATGCAGGGAGGTCTGTGGGGCTGCCCGGGCTAAACCAAGGCACACGCCGCACGGCGAGAGCTGCCTCTCCCAC